CCTTAGGGGCGCCGTCACCATGTTACATGTTTGTGGGTTGCTACCTTGGCATCTCTGGCTTCCTTTTGGAGTGATCCCGTATTCCTGTTTTGTGCTCGCTGCTCGAATTGCCATTGTTCTACATCGAACTGCAGTGGTGCCCTAATATGTGTTGTTGCCTTCACTCCTTGACTCTGCGACTTGCATGGCATGTGGTGGTTCTCCGCCTTGTTGCACTCTTATGAATACACTCTTTTTGCTGCCTCTCTGTTCATCACACTCGCCCTTCGAGCGTACAGCTCTCCTCTCGCCCTGCATCTGCTTTGTCAGTTTGCACATCGAGGCTGTGCCAAGTGCCGAGGCACATGGAAAATTAAAACAAAAACACCGTCCTTGCTCTCTTGGCCTTTGCTGATGCTCGTAGCATCATAAGTAGATGCTCGATTACGGAAGGTCTGACTGCTCCCTGACTTGATACTTGTACATTGTAAGTGTGGCACATCTACAGGAATTGCATGGTAAACTGTGCCCCCGCAGTGGGATGCAGGGTTTCGGGGACACGGTTTGGGCTGGGTAATTGGTAAGTAAGGGTTTAGGGTACATGGTTTAGGGTTGATAGATTTAGGATTGTTGCTGTTGGGGTGCAGGGTTCCGGGAATGCAGCTTAGGGTTTAGGGCTCAATTAACGTTTAAGAATGTCGATTGCTGCGGTTGGCTTTTTTTGGGTGTAAATACTGGAGAAGTATCAGGGACAACTGGATGCCAGACCTTTGGTAAATGACGGACTAGGCTGGGACCTTTTTCGGGGGCTTGGCAATGGACCCCTTGCTGGGGCTCAGGGGCTATAGAAAGCTAGGGGGTTTCGTGCATAGGGCCAATGTCCAGGGTCTTTAACCGCTTGAGGGTAGGTTTTGCGGGGTTTCAGTCTGGCATTTAGCGGTTTGACAATGATAATTTAGGGCTGGGGATTTCAGGTTCTGAGGTTCTGATCGTGCAAAGTTGTTCGGGATCACTGGAACCCATATCTTCCGTATCTGCCTGAAACAATGGACATCGTGTTGGGGCTTAGGGGCTGCCAAGGGCTTTTGGAGCTGGGCCAACGTTCAGTGGAGTTGGTGGGCTGCTGTTAACGAGCTTCAAGAAGGTACTCTAATAAGGAAACCCCAAAATATGGTAAATTAATAGCAACCCAGAAGGGTTCAGGGCTGGGGGTTTGAGATTGCAAAGTCTGGGGTTTAGGAGCTCATCTGTGCACTTTGTGTGGCTGGGTTGCTGTGCAGGACCTTTATTTGACCTGCCATAATATGAGTATGTAGTTAATAATGGAGTCTCTTGATCAGAGTGACCTACTTTAAGTTCCTTAACAGCCAGCCAGGAGGAGCACACGCATGCAACTGCTGAAAAATCGGAGGATCGAGGCCCCCCCAAAAAACCGACACTTTTTTTTATTTTGCGGTGACACAATGTAAGAAGTGGAAACGCGACCCTATACTGCTGCATCCTGGCCCTAGGCTTTGGGCCTGGGCCAGGCTTAGGCTTTAGGATTGACTCACTGAACCGAGGCTAGTGAAGCGCATTCTTGGAGACTGAGACCCTCCCTGCCCTTCCTCCAAAATCCCGTCACCTCTCCCCTGAACCCCTGTGACCCACACCTCAAGCTCATTTGCCGGATCCTGGAGGTCGGCGCTCAGAACCTTTTCAAGATGGGGACCCGTGCACGTTTTCTTGTTGTTCTAGTTGATGCATCGAACTACTTCAGGTCTTACAGGATTGGCCTCTGAGTGTCGCAGGCTCACTCATGCTCAGATGCATTGCAGGATCACGAAAGATATAGCTAGCCGTGTGGCTGGCTGGATTGGACTTCAAGTGAGCAGGATTCAAGGAACGGGTTTGCTCTTCAAATCTGTCTCATGGATGATATGCCAGGCACCCCGCACCATGCGGGTGTATCAGTAGGCTTGGACAAGGACTCTCCAGAGTCGAAGCTTTGTGCTGGATGCTGGCAATCCTTCCCATGCAGGATGATTATGACAAACTCCCCATTCCTGCGGAAATGTGCGGTGCTTTGAGAACGCAGATTCACCTAGATGCGACATTCATGTCATCGCAGGCAAGGGGGTGCAAACGTCCAAGCCATCATTGCGAATCGCTTCAGTTTCATCTTCAACCTCAAAGGCACGAGTGCAGTTTCGATGCCCAAAAATCAGTATGCTTGGCGTTGGGCAGTGCTCGGCTCCCTCAAGGTCCAAACTACGTTGCTGACACAGCCTGTTCAGCGTCGCTGACAGCGACCCATCTGGTCTGCTACTTATCCAGCCTTGGCCAATTGAAGCAGTTATGGAAAACAGAACAGCTTGCTGCAAAGCACTTCCCAGACTGCAGGCCAAGTTCATGCTGAGGGACCAGACGCGTGTAGCCCAGCGTGTACACCTCGCAGTCTGAAAGGTCCTAGCACTCTGGTTTTCTTAGGATTGACAAGCTTGAGTTCCACATTGCTCTTGGCATTCACCAGTGCCTATCGTCACGTGCTTAGTGCACTGCTAGGCAGACGGTCAATTCCAGATGATCTTGCTGGCAATTGCAGCTCTTATGTTAAAAAAAAAATTGTGGTAGGCCCTTCCCATTTGTGGGCAGCTCGCAATCGCACATGACCTCCGCAACTTGGCTAACTCCATTATGCCAAGCTGTGAGCATCAGGATGCGTTTCCTTGTCGCACAGAAGAGGGATTGAATAGAATGCCAGGCACGTTGCCGCACATTCAACGCCACCGCTGGTGGTTACATGCGAGGGGATGGCTGCCGGGCGCTGAGACTGGGTATCAGGAGAGGCGTTTAAGACCTTGGTACTCATCGCCCTGTTAGCCTGTTAGGCTCCGGCCTGACACTGAAACCTGGCGATTTGCCAGACGAGCGTGATGCCATCTGGCGCGGGTCAATGGTCACCCACCCAAGATGGAGTCATGAACAATGACAGTGCAGTGCCACATGCCAGTGTGACGAAGGTCGGCCAAAACGGGAAATCGGCAACCCTGACAGCCCCAAACGGTCTTCCGGCCGGTGTTGCTTTTATCGGACTTGAGCAAATAAAGAATGCCGCTGGAATTTCAGCATTGACAGTTTCCCTTAGCCCTGAACCCTGCTTTAAAGAACTTAAACCCCGGGCCCTAGACCTCACAGCCCTAAACCCCAAGCTCTACACCCTAAATCGCGTGCAGCGGAGAAATCCTTGGTATCGAGATGCCCTGTGCCAGGCATTTCACAGGAAGAGGTGATTTGGAAAGCCATTCGCGAGGCACCGAGGGTGTAAAAAGGTGTCTTGCTAGATTCGACTTACTGGTTGTTAGTAGGGAATAAGGGAATATAATTCCTATATATAATCCCTATAGAATATGTTCCCATTTATACCTTAATTACTAGCCGCCAGTAAGTTGAGGGTCCAAAGATCTTCGGGCAATTTCGGGCAGGCCAAGATCTCGCCAACTGAGCCCGGCACTGAAACGAAACCTGAATTTCCTCATTGCTTTCACATTAAACCCTAACGTTTAGGGTTAAGGGTCTAGGGTTAACGTGACCCCGGGTTTGGGAACTACACAAACTTATCATAGCCCGATGGTGCAAAGCCTTCGGGTAAAGTCTACTCAAAGCACATCTCGACAACAAGGTCTTGTGTGTGGAGCTGTCATGGAACAGGGACATCGCTAGGCACGTGCAGATGTGCAGGGTTCGGATCCGAGCAAGGTCATGTGGGCGCTTGCACCATGGCTGTAGGTGATCCCATTGAAGTTGGAGCAGTTCGCAAGGTGCAGAATAAGGCCTGGGCGACTACAAGCTGGTGACTGCTGGCCCAAAACCCCCCAAAACTACGTCGTGGATTAGGAGCAACGCGATACCACGCTGCTGGTTGTGACCAACAAGTCGCAGACTGGCCACTTGGAAGGCTCCTTCCGAAGACCTGGGAGTTTGGGAGTTCCTCAGTAGAGGGGTACCTGCAGGAATCCAGAGCATATTCGGGGATGACTAGGAGGTTGCCGCTGCGTTCTGAACTCCAATACTTTGTGAAACCCCCATGCTACGAAACATTGCAGAAGAACTAGACAGGTCAGAACAGCTTTGCATGACTTCTGTCAGGCGGCGCAGCCATGACCTCGTTGCTGGCAGCTGTGTTTCAGGCAGCTGCCCTGCTACTTGGATGTAATTGGTAGCTTGGGAGACGAACTCGTCAGGTGAAGGCTTCCTCGGCAATACCATGCTGCCATCTGCGCCAGCTGAATCCGCCTGGCACCTGAGCATATATCCGGCCACAGCCGCCGTTGAAAATACCTGAGGCATCTGGACCAAACTGGCTTCAACGCAGTTTTCAACAGCGAGCTGAACTCTTACCAGTTCTCACAGGCAGCTCAGCAAGCCCTTCATGAGCATAGGCTTGATGCGCATGTTTCGAATGTGTTTGCTGAACAGGGTAACGTGCACGTCTCCTCCTTTGGTCGCCGTGCCATGATTTGGGCTTGCCTCGAGGGATCCCTAGAGTAGCTTCGGAGCCTCTTATATCATCCATCGAAATCTAGTAACTTCCGAGTCATTTCCATCTCTTCATGCGCGGCTAGCCACCCTAAACTTTGTTGTAGTTCACATATATTGACATCAGTTTTACCATTCCTTTATTCCCTATTGTTCTCTACTAAAGAGGAACGACCGGCAAGCTGGAGCAGGATGACGGAATGATGGCAGTGAGCACCCCATGGCCAGGCTTCGGCGGCACGAACGCCCATGCGATTTTCTGGGGGGAGAATGTCTACCACGCCCGGGACACATGTAAAGAAATCTGGGCTTGCAGCGAAAGTACTGCAGACTTCTGAGGCGCCGAGCAATGCCGAACTTTACCAGAAGCGAATCTGGACACATTGTTGCACAGATCGCAAGTGGCAATCTGCTACGGCGGACAGCGAGCATGCAGCTTTGAGTGCCTTTGGCCCACAGGAGCATGTCGCCGCCAGAAGTCCGTGTTAACGGCAGGGCCCTGAGCGCGCTTTTTGTGAAAATGTAGAAGCTCATCTGTATTAGAGATGCAGGAAGCGACCCATCACTCTGGGACTGGGATGGCCCAGATCAGGCCTGCCAGCGAAAGCACAGCGCCGTGCCCGACTCTTTCTGCTTGAGGTTATCTTGCCGGGAGACAAATACTCTATCGAAATGAACCCGGACGACCCACCAAATGCTCCACAAAGGTGGTTCAAGGAGGACATCTGGGCTTCGAACCGTTTGAACCCGCATGAGGGTCCTGCGGGCCTGTGAAGGACACCGGAGTGGAGGAAGATGAAGGGGAGGACGAGAACTACTGCATCACAGGTGCGCGCCCCCATGTCCGAGCAGTAGTCGTTGCGCTCAGCTGATCCGTTGAACGTCAGGCCCGTTCAACGAATGGGACCTTGAGCAGATGGAGGAAGAAATGATGTGATTGGGGAAGGCTGGAAGTGGAAGCCAGCGGATGGCAGTGTGTGTCAGGACGGAGCAGTTCCGGGTCTGTGGACTATCACTGCTGGCCCTCAGTTATGGCTTTGGAGAGTCAAAGTAGCGTTGGGTAGCAGCTGCACGTTTTCATGGATCCGCGCGCTTTATGGGCTGTGAGCTGCAGTAGTCCTTTTACCGGCCTTGAATGTCATGTGCCGTTCCCAAGGTCAAGGTCCCAACAAGCGGCCAGGTAGAGTTCCGCATCTTGAGGAATGGAAATGAAGACGAGGCGAAACCACTTCATGTTCGGCTTTTGTGTTCTGAGTCATGGCCTTGCAGAAGGTGATCTATCCAGACATGGACAAATGCTCCCAAAAGCTCACCCCTATCCATGTGCCTTCGCTGCAGCATGGTCGGTCAGCAGTAGCAGTGAGCGCTTGCTGCTTCATCATTTCTGTTCGCAGCAGGGCCCCGCCAGAGAAGACCAGAGGAATGCCAAGAACACATGGCTAGCGGAGGGGATCCCTGCAGACGCCTCAGTCTCACAGAGTCCAAAAGGGGTCAACAATCTTTGATGCAAAGCAACTCTGATTTTCAGAGCTTGTATTCGTTGCCGCATGTAGCTGAATCAATCTTCTGCACTTAGGGCTCCAGCATCAAAGTCGACTTCTTTAGCTGTAGGGGTCGCGCTCTGAGGTTCACATAAGTGCTTTGCATGTCCATGGCACGGAACTGCAGCAGTATGCCTGAACTGAGGCATCCGGAGTATAAACTGGATGCAAGCCACCCCAGTCCTGATGTGCGTCTCTTGGTGGTCCCAAGGTTTCAGCATGTGTGACGCTCACATCACTGACCTCCAAGGTGAGCATGATGCAGGAGATTGCCGGCGAGTGACTGCGATGTGTGCATGTGGGGCTGTCCACAGCGTCCTCAGTGTGCGGAGGCTAGAGCCCTCTAGCCTCCCATTTGATAGATTTCTTCCGAGGTAGGAGATGAAAAAAGCATAAGTGGGATGAGATAGCAATCTCGGTTCCTGCGTGCTGCTGGGATGTGGGACAGGAACAAGCTTTCGAACCGTCAAACGCCAACTCGTCCAACATTCCATCCGATGTAGGGTCAAGCCCTGTTGCAGCGCTAGCCGTGGAGACAATCTGTTTCGCCGGAAAATGCTAACATGTCGCGAGATTTTCAGGCCGGCTGATGTCTGAGTCCGATGCCGCTTGGCACAGAAGAACAAACCCGATGGACAGCTGCGACCCTCAAGCAAAGTTGCTAGCTGCAGATTAGTCTTACAATGTCTTGCACATGATGGGACCGGGCGTGCCCAAAAGACTTGTACGGTGGCCTCGCTATCGAAGCCTATGACATGACCACGGTACACGTGCTTGTGTTTTCAGCCAGGCTTCATACTCTGTTTTGTCTCAAGTACCGTCAGCTATGGCATGGCTTGGCAAAGTAAAGCCTCCGAGTTGGCTTTGAGGCCCATGGCAGGACTGCAGCAATCCGGGCAGTAACAGCTTGCAGAGGACATGAAGAAGCAAAGGCTGGAGATCTACAGAGACCATTTGGAGGGCTGGTACTCTTCTTTTCCAAGATGCCCCCCCTGTATGTCAGCTGCTCAAGGCGAGCGAAGCGCGAGAACGACCAGGTGCTCACCTTCGATCCGGCCAGCAGGTCGTTTTCACTACTTCTTCGTTTTTTGTTTTTTCTTTGTTTTTTTCGCGGTTTTTACCTCGCTCATCTTGGGCATGTCTTGCCTGTCCTGCGTTGCGGGTAAGGAACTTAAATTAAGTTAACATATTCTGGGTAGATAGTAAGAAGTCGGGGTTCCTTATTACAGCAACTTACAGCTAAGTTCCGTAACAGCAACGCAGTGTCTTCAGGCAGTCTTTCCTTGCTGGCTTCCGCAAGAGGAAGCAGGACCTTGCTTTGCCATTTGGGGGTTTCACCAAATTAGGGGTGTGGGATAATGGAAAACAAAATGGAAACTACTACTACTACTACTACTACTATGTATTGGGGTTATATAGGGATAATGGAAAAGAAAATGGAAACTACTACTTAGGGTTCATGGTTTCCCAAAATTAGGGGTATCATTTCTCCATCATAAGGATTATAGCATATTGTGGTCTATGTTGTGGTCCCCTTCTTTTGGGAAACTACCATTTATCAGCAGAGTCGCGAGGGTGTGACCTGCTTTGCCAAGCCAGCGGTAAAAAGCTGAATCTATAGTCCCCCTTAAGTAGATAGAATATGGCTTTGGGTATCTTGGAATAAGATCTCCACATACCCCATATTCTATCTACTGAAGGGTGGCTATATCATAAACCCTAAACCTAAACCCTAAGTAGTACTTTCCGTTTCCTTTTCCATTATCCCTATATCTACCAAGCTGCTAATAATTAGGCACAGGCTGCTAAATATTCAAGGCACCAGGCTTGGGACATCTCCGCAGCGAATCTTTAAGCAACCGACGCAGCGCCCACGGCACACGAGAAGACTTCGATCTGCGAAGCGTTCCTTGCCGCCTGGGAAGCCAGTCGGGCCAAATGTAAGTACACCTTGCATTCACAATTCGGCCACCTTGGCGCGTGCTTGCAGAACTGTCTGCAGGGCGCCCAGCGAGGCTTCAGGAGATTCACTTGAAACAAGTGTCAGGATCGCAGAAAGTGGGCCGTGCGCGAAATACTTGAGAAAGAGCGGCAGGACAGCTGCATGTTCCGTGACCTCTGATATGTTGTTTCACAGTTGTTTGAGCTGGTAAACAGGTTAGGAGAGCAGCGCAGAAGGTAGGAAAGAGAGCGCCTGGCATCCCAAAATGATTGGAGGACCGCATTGAAGCAAAAAAGGACCACAGGCAGGACGTGAAGCAACGCTGGAAGGACGGAATGAATGAATGAGATGCAAAGGGCTAGGGCTGTGCGCTCTCTACATAATGCGAGGATGTGCAGCGTGCCGAAAAGCGGGTGGAAGCGCTTCTGGGCCCGCAGGAGGCATGGTGCGGGACTGTTCCTGCATGCCATGGTGATTGTAAGAAGGTAAGGGCATGTTGCATGCAGGTATGCGCATATGCACGTCTGTATGTAAGCATGTAAGTATGCAAGTATGCAAGTATGCAAGTATGCAAGTATGTAAGCATGTAAGTAAGTAAGTAAGTAAGTAAGTCAGTAATTAAGTATGTAAGTATGCAAATGTAGGTATGCATGTATGTACGTATGTGTATGTAAATGTATACATGCACTGACACACTCGGTATATGTGTGGAATTGCCTGCATATACGTATATGCGTGTGTATGAGTATATTTACATTTCACAGCATATATAGATATGTAGACATATGTATATCTGTGCGTGTAGACATTCGCAGATAAATAGGTAGGTAGACAGAGATAGATAGATAGATAGATAGGTGTATATATATATATATTTCTATATATACACACACGCCCATGTTTAAATGCTGCGCTCAACATAGCTGTCTACGAGCGCAGCATCCTCTGTCTCCGCAGCTGCTAGTACCAGGAAGTCGGCTGGCTCGGGGACCTTCGAACTGAAAAGCTGAAAGATGAGGAGGCCAGCTGGCCGCTGCCCAGTTTTCATAGCTGTGTGCTGCAGGCTCTGTAGGTAATGATATAGTCATAATATAGTAGTAATTTAGTAGTTATAGTAATAATATAGTAGTAATTTAGTAAATATGTAGTAAGTTCATTTTGCTGCCTTGTGATGAGCCGCGGCATGTTGCGTGACAGAGAAGCATCTTGAACGCTTCTGTCAAGATTAGGCTTATCCCAAAACCATTAAGCCCTCTTGTCGTTTAGTGTAGTCCCCAATATAGTGCATGTAGTCCCTAATATAGTCCATAATAAGCCATGCATGTCCATTAATTTTCTAGGTAGTATTGATTGTAGCTCATGTGGCAGAGCTGCTGGAGCTTTTGGGCAGCTTGTGGGCGAAGCCAGGTTCCGGTAACGGTGGCCTTCGAAGCAGAGGAACCGGATCTCAACATGAATCAAAATGACAGGAATGGTTTGGGTCAGGAAGATGATCCATTTGGTGGCTGCGAAGTGACAACTGCCATAGCAGGGGCACTGTGACCAAGATGCTCTGCTGTGGCTTTGTACTTGCCACATTTGGCAATGGCAATGCAGAAGCCTTTTCTGTAAGGTCTCCGATGGAGCGGGCGGGTGCGGTCCTCGGTGGCTTGCTGCAAGCACTGGCGAGTCATGCGCATGCCATTTTGCAAAGGCGCTATGTTCATTGCGCAGCGACAATGTGCAGCATAAATCTGCTGCAGGCATCTGCCTTTGGCCTTGGTCGGCAAGAGCGGCACGGCGCTTTCCTTGCTTGGAGGCGTGAAAGGTGCTTCTCCAAAGCCTTGGCAAGTTGTGGGATATGCAGGAGAGGCTGGGCTCCTCCGTGACCTGACAGGAATCCCACAGGACAGCTGCCTAATGCTCACTTCAGGTAGGCTAGATTGCCAGGTCTGTGGATCTGACCGAGTAGCCTTAGGCAAAAAGCTTTCGCTGCCCGACCTATAGTGAGAGGAAGACCCGCAAGCCAGAACGAAGAGGCGCCTAGGGATGTTATTTTGCAGTCCCCAGACAACGTTCAACTAATTGGTGTTTACTAAGGAATAAGGGAAGAGCAGGGAAGATAATCCGGATATCATCCCTATAGATCCCGATTATATAGCACCTATGCCTCATTCCCTACTAACCCCCAGTAAGAAGCAATGCCCCGACCAAGGCGCGTCCTCTCCAATGCCAAGGAGGAGAGTCGCCGCCAAGCGGTGCTGGACAAGACAGTGACGCTTCTGGGACTTTATACTAGCTTTAGGGTTTAAGGTTTAGGTTGGGGTTGTTCTGCTTTAGAGCATGGCTGGTTGGAGTAGGGTCCTAAAGAGAAATAAGCTTGGAGCATTTGGCGGCCATTATGGCTGAAGTGCTCCCTTTAAATTTTGACTGTGGCCTTCCCACTGCTACGCCATGGACTTGCCACTGGTGATAGGGAGCACGCTGACCACTAATGCGAGGCAGGTCCTGCAGGACCTTGGGGTCACCTGCCTAGAGGACTTCGCTTTCCTGTGCCAGAAGCCGGAAGAGCTCTTCCCGCTGAGCGCGGACCCTGGCACTCTGGACAGCCTTACTCGGGCGTGGCAGATAGCACGCGTTCAGCTGAAGGCGGCCGAGGAGAAAGCGCTAGCAGCGCCAAGCAGTGGTCACCAAACCGACAATCGGAAGCGGCAAACAACGTCTTTGCCATCGGTTCTTGGAGCCAGGCCCAAGGCCCGTATATTCGCGCCGACAAACTTGCAGCCGAGGTCCTTCAGACAGGCCATGGGTGGCATGAGCATGCCGAGTCATCTAGTACAAGGCGCCAAGCCGGACAAACGCTTGATCCTGCTTCAGGTCTTGTTTGAGGCCGCTCTGCTTTGTGGTTCCCAGAACACGGCCTTTGGGCAGAAGCTTGTTCTGCAGCAGGAGGAAGCCAGACCTAGCTTCTATAGGAAGTTCCAGGCCACCACCACAGATCGCCTTTCCTCTTTGTGCTCGTCCATGAAGCGCTGGGTGGCGTGGCATAGCCGCTTCGCACCTGGAGACCAGCCGTTCTGGAAGCCGTCGCCTGTGACTCTCTCCCAGTTCTTTGCCTTTGTCAGCCGAGGCGGTCCGACAGCAGCATCAGGTGTGTTCCAGGCACTGAAATGGTGGACAGAACAAGTGGGACTCCCTATGCCGCTCAAGCATGCCATCGTGAGCCACTGGGCCGTGCCAGAGCAGGGACACACAGCAAACCCTAGACTCCCGCTACCGCTGCGCATCATGCTGGACCTTTGCAGAACAGCCAACAAAACCACAGGCTCAGTCCGTAGCTTTGTGGCAGCAGCCTTGCTCGTGCTGTGCGCATGTCTTCAGGCACCTGCAACGGTCACAAGACCTGAGACTGGATTCCGGATTCTTGCGAGGAAAGTGCACCATGGGAAAACGCCGGGTTCAACAGACACGGCCCCCGTTTGAGTGGGCGGCGCCCTCGATTCTTCCCTTCAGCTTCGACATGGCTTCGCAGGTTCTTCTGGACTACGAAGAGCTGTGCCGGGCGTACGGCAGCCAGCCAGGGTTCGTGCTTCAGGATTCTGAGGTTGCAACGGGTGCGTGCTTGACCTCAGATTCTAAGCGCTCCTTGAGGGAGCTCAGCCCTGGCCGTTTCATTCACCTTCTTCGTGCCCTTCTGCTGAGCCTGGGGGTGCCGGACATGGAAGTGTGCAAATTCACCAGCTACAGCCTTCGCCGATTCCTACAGCGGCTGACGTGCTCCGGTTGCCCGAAGAGATGCGCCTAGCCATTGGTGGGTGGCAAGAACAGCCCAAGACGGCAACTGCCCAGCCACAGCCACGAGCAAAGCATACCATGGCACAAAGGTATGCTGATGACAAGGTGCTCACCTCAGGCCAAGTCAAGAAGGAGGTCGTGGTTGCCATCGACATGACTTGCAGGAGGCTCACAGGCGACATGACTTGGGATGACCTTAGACAGAATGCCCCGTCGTCAGACGAGCTTGCCAAAGAGCTCAAGCGTGCGCGGTGGCAGCCCCCTAGTTTCAAGGCAGCCTGCGTTGCACAAGCAGCACCCTCAGGATCAGATTCCAGCAGCTCTTCTTCATCCTCTTCAGATTCCGAGCTGGACGCAGCAGACGCGGAGCTGATCTCCTGGTTCCAACACACCCCTAAGGGCGCCCTTCACTTGGTTCAGGGCATGCTTGGCTCCCGCCTCGTTCCGTTTTGCCAGGACTTGCCTTTTGACGCCTTGCGTGCCGCCAGAGGTGCAGGCTTTGACGGACATGAGAAGCTCTGCCTTAAGTGTAGAGCCAGGGCCCCTAAGTGCATCCAGGATTCCTTGCCAGGCGTCTAAATGCATCCTTTTCAACAGCTGTTGTGTCCTTGGCTTTGTCTGTGCTGCATCCTCAGCCTTGCGCCTGCACACTGCCATGCACCATGCCCATCAGGGACGCTTCTGGCATTGCGCCTGGCGCCATAATTCTAGTTGGCAGACCCCTCTCTAAGTTGGGCTTCTGGCATTGCGCTTGGCCTCACTCGAGAGCTTGAGTCATCCCTGCCTGTGTCGTCATGGGACAGCAGCCGTCTGCGCCGCTGCCTGCAGAGGCCCTGGCCACTGCGATCACGCAGCTGCCCGCCGAGTGGATCACAGCGCTCATAGATGCTTTGGTACTCGTCCGTCTGCGCCGGGCACACCCAGCCGGTGCGGAACGTGCCATCCTGAGCGGTAGGCTACAGCTGAGCCGGTGCAGCAACCCGACCTGAGAGTGCGTAGACATGACCTGCGCTGCGGCGTACCGTGTACCTCTTGCCTTGTTGGTTACTGTAACCGCGGCAAACGTGGGCACCACAACCATGGCTGTTTAGCCTGCGACAGGCACGGTGACAGGTAACCGCCTGCATCACTGTCTGCTTGGCTTTCCCTCTGTGACGGCAGCAGTGCTTATGAACCAGGTGGTGGACATAAAGGCATCGTGCCCTCATTACTTAGTGCTGACTTGGCTGTGCCTCTTGGCTTCTGCCTGCTGTCCTCTACGCACTTGGAACAAGTGCACTGTGCCTTGTTCATTCATGCTGCAAGCGTGGCCGGTTGTGGCTTCCGCCTTTGCATTTATGGCTTTTCACTTGTTGACGGCGTTGCGCCTTTGTCATCCATGTTTGTGGCGTCACGCCCCTCCTTTAGACATGTCACATGCCTTGGACTGTGCGCATGGAGGAGAGTAACGATCATGCATTGACAGCCGCCGCCTGAGCGGGGCGGACTTGCCCTACCCTTGCGCCCTAGATTGCCTTAGCCATACATCCCGTGTGCCACTGCAGCCGCTTGGGCTGAGTTTTGACGTCCCTTAGTGCAGGTAACAATGGCCAAGGCTAAGGTAGAGGCGCTCCGAAGGATGTTGCAGGAAGCTCGGCTGCCGGAAGAGTTCGCCACCCACTGCATCACCACTCTCAAGATGGAGTCGATCGAGGACTATGTCAACATAGTGACCGTCAAAGACTATGAGACAGAGCTGAAGGTCGTGCTCACGGACCAGTGTGCGGCCACGAAGGACTCTGCTCTCATGTTGGCGCGGGCAAGATCGGCCTGGCGGGCTGGCCGCACCATTGTGCTCCGCAACGAACACAAGCGACGACAAGGAGAACCTGTCGAGGATATGGGTTGCGCACTTGAACAGGCCACCCAAGAAAGCCTGATGGCACAATTCGAGGCGACCTACCAGATCTCCTTGGACATCCACTGGATGCCTGCTGACACACTCCTGGGCAGAGTCTTCCGTGAATGCCAGCGTTTGATGCCAACCGTGATTCCGGCTACCAAAATCCGCTCCCTCTATTGGGCCGCCAAGCCCAACAACGAGAAGACGGTGGTGCTGTCAGATCAGGTCAAGCTTCAACTTGACAAGGATGAGCAGATGCCCGTAAAGTCTGTTTTGGAGTACTATCGCTGTCTCAGGATTTTGGGGCACGCCTACGCCATCGTTGGGCAACACAAAGTGCCCTCTAAGGAGAAGCCAGGTACGGATGTCGTCTTCGCCCCGCTGTCCATCAACCTGAAGTACCCGGGCACGGTCCTCCGCATTGCCAGCGCATCTAGCTTGGGGCCGTCTGACCTCCTCAACTTGATTCGGCAGAAAGACGAGAGCACCCGTGCTCGCCTCGTGGAGCTGGTTCGACAGGGCTACCCCCAGGGCGAGGCTCTTAGCAAGGCATGGGCTGAGTTCGAGCTTCATTGGATTACGGCTCCATCCAAACGCCCCGCAGAGGAGTCCAGCACAACGTCACCAGAGAAACGCCCGCGCACGGGGCGCGAAGTCAATGGCATGGAGCTATGCAAGAAGTGGAATGACAAGAGGGGGTGTGATGGAACTTGTGGTAAGCTGGACGCTTGCGATGTCATGCTGTCTGATGGCCGTATCTGTGCCAGCAAGAAGCACAACCGCATGACATGCCCACAAGTGAATGGATGGCCGCCCAGGGCAGCCGGGGGAGCCCCAGGGTGAGGCCGTTGACACAGCATTCCCCAACAGCAGGCAGCATCCCGCTTCGCCAAAGCACGATGAAGTCGCCTTTCCCCTCCACACTGCCCCAGTCACAGCCTTTCGTGACATACCGTGGCAGCTCCCCACTACCGCAGCTGCGGTGGAGCCTTCCCTTCACCGGGCCACAAATAGTGCTCAGCCTGTTCGACGGAGTGGGCTCGCTCTTCACTGCCTTGGTCATGTTAGGGGCCTGCTTCCATGCTCTAGCCTGGGAAACCAATGAGGACGCCATCGAAGTGTGCCAACGCACTTTCCAGCCGGTCCACCACTGCGATGATGTGCTGCACTTTGATCGCTCTCAGGTTGAGCCTTTCCTCGCCAGCCGTAGTTATTCGGCAGTCATTGTCATGGGTGGTTCCCCGTGTCAGGATGCGAGCCTGCTGAAAAGCGACAGGCCCGGAGCCACGAGCTCCCGCACACAACTCTTCAACGCCATTCCAGGCGTCGCCCAAACATGCAGATCAATCCTGCAAGAGCACAATATCAGCATACCCGTCACACAGGTGCTTGAAAATGTGCACATGGCCAGCGCTGACTTCTTTCATCAGGCGTGTACGGCTATGCATGGACCTCCGCTCACAATTTCAGCCGGCTCCTTCGGATGGACCAGACGTGACAGGTCCTGGTGGTGCAGCGACGGCACCAGATCATCTCATGATCTCCTTCAATTAAGCCTGCCATCACAACTGCGTGCAACTCGTGGCCCCCATGGTTGGTCCATTAGATGGGAGCGTAAAAAGCCATGGCCAGCCACGGTGCAATTTGCCTCAGGTTTTCAACCATGCTTCGACCCAGCGCAAGTTGCAAAGGCCTCGGAGCAACTTGACTGCTTCCCAGTGTTTACCAGGGCCTTCAAGCACAAGCCGGACCGGGGCCCCGCAGGGGACGAGCAGACCCTTCAACGCTTCCACCAGTGGCGCGAGGTTCCCACTTTTCAAGGTTCTGCTCTGGACGAGACCAAGCAAGGCCCCCTAACTCAGCAGAAAGAGCCGGCGTGATGCATTCCACAACGCACGCCCCCAAAGGCCGCGCAGGCGAGTCTAGCCAACTTGCCGAAAACACCAGGTGTTCGCTTATAGGCAACAGCTTCCATGTGCCCTCCTGCATGATTGCTCTCATCGTGGCCTTCCAACTGTGCAGCCAAGCCTCGGCCATTGCCCCTGCGTCTTACGTAGGCCTCGAAGCACACATTCGCAGCCACGCCCGTGGCACAGTGTGGCAGCCCGACCTGCTGGAAGGCTTCCCCGGCCTCCTTAAATGGGACCACCTGGAAGCTGAGACCAGAAAAGCTTTCATTGGTCTTCCCGTTGACCTGCCTCGCCTTGATCCACCACCAGACCTCGACAGGGCGCTTGCGCGCCTGCAATGTTACTGGGCTGCCAAGTGACAGCCAGGGCCCCCAAAACCGGGCAACATAAACAGATTGCAGACAGCAAACGTGCCTTGGGCCAGCAAGCCAGTGGGCCCAACTCCAAGCATGCCCTCATGCCTCTGATTCCCCCAGGCCTAGGTAAGCAGGCCCACATGCAATTTGCCACCTGCCTGCCCAGTAGTTTTGACACAAGCGCGTGCCTTGATGATGACGCCAGCTTCGCGCGCCGAGGGATGTGCACCCTGGGGCCGTGCATACGCACCTGGCGTCAGCTGCTCGTACGCTTCCTGCAGCCGTGGGAAGCCAGCCTGCATGCGCACGGATGTCAGCGCAATTGCCCGTGCAAGGTGCCCTGCCGCGCTGACAGTCCTCACCATGCTCCTCAGGTGGCCTGACTGCACCTTAGGCAGGAGGTTCGTAGAAGGCTTCCGCCTCATTGGGGCCATCGAAGCCCCGGGCATCTTCCGAGACATCAGCCCCATGCCCCCAGAGGCGCTGGGATTGCCAGCACTTCTAGGCGATCATGCTGCGCGCGTAGTCGGCAAACTTGAGCGCACTCTGCCCAACTTCCCTTTCCAAGATGAAGCCAAGGCCTTCACACTCCAGGAAGTTGCGCAAGGCCTAGCACACGGGCCCTACACAAAGGCTGACCTTGACAAGGCCCACGGATCCAACTCATGGATACCCATGCGCCGCTTCATGCTCCCCCAGTCCAGCAAACTGAGGGCCATTGATGATGGCAGGTTCTCAGGCCACAACCAAGCCTCCTATGCGTGTCTCCAGCCCTGACTGTGTGTCTGCAGCCTGCAAGTTTTGCCTGGAACTCCTTTCGGAATCCGAGGGCAGCACTCCCCCTTGGGCACAGCCTTATTGGGTACTTCGGACATGTCTGCCGCCTACAGACAGATCCCTAACCATCCAGAGGAAGCGGCAGCAACCATTGTGGCGTACTTCGATCGGGAAGCCGACGAGTTGCGCTACGCAGCGCTCAAAGCACACCCTTACGGCTTGGCTTCAGCTGTGCTTAACTTCAATAGGACCCCGTGTTTTCTGACAGCCCTCACTCGCAGAGTAGCAGCGGCGTGCACCGCCAACTACTTCGACGACAGCGGAGTGCTTGATTTCGTCTCAGCAAGAGGCAGCGCTCAGTCCTTCCTGTGGCAGGCTTACACACTGCTGGGTTTTAAGCTCGACCCGGACAAAGATGGACCCATGGCATCCCAGAGGCACTTCCTAGGCCTGTTGCTGGACTTCACGCATGTCCTGTTAGATAAGTCCATGCGGATCCACCTAAAGGAAGGACTAGCTGAGTCACTGCTGGCAAACATAAAGGAGATCCTGACAAGTAACCGGTGCACACCAGCTGAGGCGGCCAAACTCAGGCAAGTTTGGTTGGGCCTCTTGTGCCATGTATGGCAGGTGTGGTCGTGGCGGACAGGCCGCCCTAATCCAAAGGCAGTACCATGACATAGATCATGAGCTGAGCCCCAGCCTGCGCAAAGCCCTGGAGTTCTTCCAGGCGCTGCTGCACGTGGTCGAGCCCCGCACCGTGCTTCTGGGCCCTCAGCAACCGCCACCGGTAGTCATCTACACAGATGCTTCCTGGGAACCTCAAGACATGCAGACACCAGGCCTGGGATACGTTCTCCTTCACCCAGATCTTGATAAGACACGTGGCGGAGCAGCGTCTGTCCAGCACAGTTCTGACCTCGCTATGCGAGCGCCAAACGCAGATCATGCCGCTTGAAGCCCTCGCCATCCTGCAAGCATTCCTTGTGTTCATGCCTGCCGGCCTGGCAGGTAGAGACATCCTGCTTTTCGTTGATAATCAAGCAGTGTGCTCCTCTCTGGCCAAGGAAGCTAGCTCCGCAGAAGATGTGGGCTTGATATGCACGGTCTGCCACTTGCTGTGGGCTAGGTACTCCATCCGTGTATGGGTGGAGTGGGTGCCCAGCGACGACAACCCGGCCGACGGCCTCAGCAGAGCCGGGCTCTCGGACGGCTGGACGCAGACTCAAGACTGGGTGTGCAGCTCGCATCCGTGCCTTCCGTGGCCACAGGTGTCAAGCCTACCTCTCCTTGACATCCCAGACGTCCTTTTGCATTGGAGTAAAACCTTGGAGTGAGGAACATTGCAGATGTTCTTGTGTTCAGATGCTTGAAGCATCCGGCCGTGAAACTCCAATGCAAACGGCCTGAGCTCGGACACTCCAGTGAAGCCAAAAAGAGTGAGGCGCGTGTGCTGCATGTTTCTTGATGTGGCGAAGCTTATATAATATTGGGATAATGGAAAAGGAAATGGAAACTACTATATACTGCGCAGTCTGCATCATGAAGATGCGCTGAGTAAATGCAGCATATTGCAAGGCTCCTCAAGCTGGGCCGATTGTAGCTGTAGAGTAGCTATGCTTGCTTTGAAAGTCTTGTGGGCAGCTCTGACAAGGAAGAAGCTCACCACCAAGAATCAAGGGCCAGCTAAGAAGAACAAGCGGGCCAAGGCCTGCTGTGCAAGCATTCATGGGTAATGACAGAAGTCATATCATACAGTACAAACATCAAGAAGAGTAGTCAGACTAATAGCGGTGCGACTAGTCATTTCAGTGCTAAAAGTAAGATAGCCCTGCGTAAAATGCTTCTTTCCTGTACGAAGCAGCAATTCGCGCATTGACACTTCAGGGCTCCAAGGGAGGCAAACGTGCTGAGCCGAGCAGCCGTGTGTGCTGGACAAGCTGTTGAAGGTTATGTAGGGTTCAGGGAAAATGGAAAAGAATATGGAAACTACTATATAGGGGTTATATAGGGAATAACGGGAAAGAACATGGAAACGATTATAAAAATATATAGGGGTTACATAGGGATAATGCCAAAGGGGTTCGCTAGGACAGCTGCCGAACCGATGCCAAGGCCCTGTTGGAAGGAAGGAGCGGCGCAAGAGAATGAAGAAGCGGGGGAAATAGCCAGAATGCCATGCTCTCGTCTCACCAAAGGCAATGCCCTGAGCAACTCAAGCTCAGATGTTTGGCAGCGAGCCAATAACAACAGTACTGCACGCTGCCAGCTCCTGCAACTCCCTGCTTCCGAAACACTACCACAGGAGGAACTTCGGCCGCATGATTCCCTGTCAATTACAGCACCAGGTCAGCAGCGCAACATGCCAGAAAGTCCTTGAGTTTGCAACATTCCAAATTGCAAAACTGGTAGCCACATCAGAGGCCAGCCTATACATTCACAGTTGGCGTCAAGAGCAGCTTTGCCGCGCTAAGCGCAGCTGATGCAGCGTGGAATAAAACGGGCATGGCCGACTTCAGGTGGGGTCCCAGTATAGCCCAGGTGCCAAAGTGTTTTCAGACATGCTTGCAGGCCTGCAGGACTGGCTGGAGGGTCCAGAGTTGGAGGAGTACCCGAAGCTAGGCATTTCTTAGCCATGGCACCAGCTATCACGCGAAATCTGCGATCGTCTCAGGACATCAATCAAGCTGGTGAGCCGTCTCTCATCGCCGTGCCTTTGCCCGCAGTGGCGGCGTTCACGCCTGTTCCAGTGTAGACACTGCCCTGCAATCGGGTCAAGGCACTACAAGGAGTTTCTGGCAGAAGCTGCCGAGGCATGGTTGGCTTGGGACTCACCTGCAGAGCTTTGTGTCACTTGAGTTTCTTGAGGGACTAAGTGGGACAAGGTTGCATACGACATCCAGTGGACGCCTGATTTCGATGAGGGTGCCGATCATCCAGTGGCGCCTGTTCTGCAAGAATCTCATGGTCATTGGCTCACGTGCCGCAAGCAAGGTCCCCATGAGGCTACCAGCAGGGTTACTTGATACACTCACGGTCTTTGACTCCAAAGACGAAATTCCATGCTGCGACACAGCACTCTCCTCCAAGGGCTCAGAGCTTCGGCAATTCATGGTGCCAGGGACGGTTTCTTGAATTCGGCATACTTTCTGCTCAACGCTTTTATGTTGGGGGCTCTTTGCGGCACGGCCCGCAGGCGCACCGTGCCCCCGCAAATCTTTGGGCGCTGCTTCTGGCGACCCAACTCTGGCCCACTTTGCAAAGGCATCGAGGACCAGCCTGCACGCTGTGCCGGACAGCCCATGCAGGCTGCTCGCGTCGGCCCCCACATTGCCCTTTGAGCAGTTTCGGATAATTTCAGTTGTGCAGTCCTTGAGCTTTTTGCCGCCTCTCGGTGTCCCTTCCCTCATTCTGGTATCCACACGCTTGTTGGTGCTGCCGAGACTGATTGCCCATGACGGGCATCTGGCCCTCAACATGCTGGACGGTCTACACTAGCAAATCAACAAGCAAGTGGCGTCGAGGCAGCCTGCGGGGATGCAAGCAGGCACTGATAGATGCGGCCCCTTTAAATGAATGACAGCATGTTTGCCTTTTCAAAGCGCTCTGCACAGAGTTGCCAGATGCCATCTTACGTTCCTTTCATGAAGTTCATTTGCTTCAGAAGATGGCTTCGTTTTGTTGGCCATGTCCTTTCAAAAGCGGGCCTGCTGCATCGCTTGCAGATACTGCAGTGATTCTGAGACTGCATTCCTGCTTGAACTCCGTAACGTCAACTGTGCTTGGAGACGTTGAACGTCAGACACCTCGCACGTTGGAAAGCGCTACCACGACCAATCGATCCAAGAGCTAGTCCAGCAAGTGCAGACAGAATCGTGTGGCATGCGAATCCCGCAGTTGCACAAAAACGCGCAGCTCCTCTTGTTTCACGCCTGGCCAAGAATGCAGACTGGGTGCCTTTTTACTGGTATGCAGGGTCTTCATGTTGTTTCGTTGTTTTGCACAGGTAGTCCTCGTATGGTGAAGCCTGTGATTGCACACGTTTTGGTTGTCCCGGCAATTGCACTTCATCAGGGCATAGCCTGAAACTTCGAAAGTTTGTTTGTGGGCTAGCTCATGGATCAAGGCGCTCCTGCAGCTCGCGTTCCCGATCTCCGGTCAGTGCCTGAATGGTGAAACTGTGCCATGCCATGCCATGCATACAGCCGTGCGAGGCAATACGTACGTCTTACAGCTTCCTCTTCTTGGGACTTTCCCAAGCAGGGCCAAGAGGCTTTTTGAGAGCCGGGTGCCCATTGCCCTGAAAACAGGCATCCACTTGGACCCAGACACGTATATTACCCTATATTACCCTGTATAATCCCAATATGGCCCATATAACCCTACATACAGTAACTCCATATAACTCTATTGTAGCAATTTGACCCAGAAAGCACCAAAAAAAACCTATATAACCCTTGTAACCCCTGTAGTTCCCATTTGCTTTTCTAGTATTTCCTATATAACCCCAATATACTATATAGTAGTTTCCATGTTCTTCTATTCCCTAGAAAGCCCCTATGTTAGCCTATATAACCCTATATAGCTCTATACTATCCCTATATTGCCCTATATAATCCCTATATAACCCTATATAATCCCAATATTTCCTATATAAGCCTATGTTACCCTAGATAACCCCATATTACCCTATATAACCCTATATAACCACTCTGACCCAGAAAGCAAGAAGCAAGGCCCGGATGTGCTGGCAGTAGGCTTCGCAGCGAATGCCATGGACAAGCACAAGCTGGAGATCTCCGGAGTTCAGGCAGGGCTTAGGGTTTAGGGATTAGGGTTTTGGGGTTTAGCGTTTAGGGTTTAGGGCAGCTCTTTCGATGCAGTTTGCGGCACTTGCCAGCGGCTATGTGAGCTGAGGTTGATGAAACCACCCTAATCGATGCCTTTGCCTCGGTGCTTCAGCTTCTGTGCCCTTTCATCAGGTGGAATAAAACCGTGTACAGCCTAACCCTAAAACCCTACAACCCTATATATCCCTAAACCATAAAGTTCCATCCAGCCCCATATTACCCTATATAATCCCAATATTACCCTATATTACCCTATATAATCCCAATATTATCCTATATAATCCTATGTTACCCTATATAATCCGAATATTACCCTATATAACCCTATATAACCCTATATAATCCCAATATTACCTATATAAGCCTATGTTACCCTAGATAACCCCATATTACCCTATATAATTTCATAGAATTCCTGAGAAGCTCAAAGGTACAGCCTTGGTGTGAAGCTGAGATGGGCGAGAACGCCAGCGTCCGTCAGGGCTGGAGAGTGGGCCCTCCCCTTGGTAGGGTGTATTTTTGTTTTTGTTTGGTGGTTTGAGGTTATGTAGGATTTTGGGGTTTTAGGGTTATAGAAGGTTGGGGGTTTTGGGGTTTGAGGGTTGAGGGTTTGAAGGTTTCAGGGTTTAGGGTTGCAGGGTTTAGTGCGATAAGGGGGTATATATGTATGGATAAGAGGTGTGCTGTGCCCGCTAAAGTGTTACCTTGTTTCGGAAGCCAGCACGTATAACTTGCACCTTTCACCTAGGCCTAAAGCGAGCGGCATCCTGCGTTTTAGATTTCGTACCTCCGGCACGTGAGAACGATTGCTTTCAGTGCCTTCTTTGTCCCCCGCCGGGTTGTGACATGAGTGTGTGACAGGACATGGACAAGAGCAGCACTGTGGCGCTGGACTCTGAGATTTCTTGCTGTCGTGCGATGATGCAGACGATGGCTTCGAAGGAGTTTGGAGCCCGTTTTGGGAACTTCCCCGGATGGATTTCCATTCAGGGTTCTGGCAAAGATTAGCAGAGCTGATTGAAGCCTGCGATGCTCCTTCAAGTCTGTATTTTCAATTCTTCTGCTGCTTATTGGGTTTTGCTTTTCTGTCTACGCTGCTGGCGATGTTTCTGCTTGAAGTTGCGCATTGAAAAAGAAACAACTCTTCCAAAATCACGCTTGTCATTGAATTCTTGAAGACAAGTCTCCGCGTGAGCACTTTGGCATCTGGCGGCGACATTCTTGCAACTTGCACCGGTGTGTTGCGGGAGGATGGCGTTTTTGTTGTGACCTTGATCCATGTTGGTGAGTCATTTCCCCTCAATGCCGATGTGCAAAGGGGAGCAGAGATCTTCAGGATCTCAGCCTGAAACCTTATACTCTGATAGAAGAGTCCTGAGGTCGTCAAATTGGAATCGCCAAGAGCTGACGCCTGCTCAGGCATGAAACATGCAAGTTGATGGGAGGACCGTTGTCACTTCATCTGGCAGGTTGAGTATGCTGCCATGGATGTGTGGGTGGCTCTTCGGCTGTACCACCAGCCACATGTCTGAAGCCGTATCATGTTGCATCGTGTTGCACCACACCATGGGAATCTCATAGATTTGCTTCTTTTGGAAGAGCCCAGGCTTGCTCTGGTTTATGGAGATGAAGGCTTCTAGCTACAGGCCAAGACACAAAAGGGCGAGGCTCTAAGCTGTTGCGCTTCTACGCCTCGCCCCTGCAGAGCCTGATGTCCGAGCGGCCAAAGATCGCCCCAGACAGAAGCTTCGGACGCCATTGGGTGCAGCTGGCTTGGACATGCCGATCATCAAAAGTGAGCAAACCTTGTTGTGCAATACCTTCATGGCCCCGCAGGTTCAATGTAGCTGGGTGTGCTGCCTTTGCTTGCATCGATCATTCTCTTCGCCAAATATCCCTAGTAAACTCTCTGCATCCACCTGTGCCTGGGAAACCCTAAACCCAAAGGACCAAAGGACCTAAGGACTCCATACCCCAATATATTATAGTAGTTTCCATTTTCTTTTCCATCATCCCAATATAATCCCTATATATCCCTATATTTTCCCACCATTGGGCCTTCTTCATCTTTTTGGCTCAGAGACGCTGAAGAGATGGAGTGCCAGGATCTAGCAGCAATGTGATGGCCGTAGACTGCAGGGCTCCTGGAAGGTCAAGACACTTCAAGACTGTCCAAGTATATTTTAAATTAAGTTACCATAATGGGCATATATAGTAAATAAATAGGGTTTCCCCAATAGAGTAATTTAATTTGAGTTCCTTAGCAGCAACCCAGTTTTTTGAAGCAAGGCGGCTCAAGGGCGATGGCCACTTCGTACAGCTCCAAACCGCGAGAAGCCCTGCGCCTTTGGTGCAGCTTCTCGCTCGT